TCTGCTCAGCAGGGAGCCTGCTTCCCTTCCTCTCTCTGCCTGCCTCTCTGCCTACCTGTGATCTCTGTCAAATAAATAAATAAAATCTTAAAAAAAAAAAAAAACTAAAAACCACAAAACAGAGGCACACATATGCCTCTGCCTGGTGCTTCTGTTTTCCTGTCTGACTCAAGACATGGAGGCAGGGGGCTGAGGTGGGTGGCAGGCAGTGAGGGAGAATGGACAGAAGGGCACAGTCCTCTAAAAGTTGCCTTCCTCTAAAATATAACACACATATTAAAACATTTCCTCCCTGAGGAATTAGTTTACAGATTAAAAAGGAAGAAAACACTTAAGACTTGAGCAATTTCAACTTACTCTTTCATCAATGATTTTCATAAGCCATCTTTTGGTCAGATTATGTCTTTTGACAGCCTAAAAAAACAACAGCGCTGTAAATTTTTAGAAAGTACTAGAAATGACTTCAGCAGACCTGAATAAAATAAACATACCAATTAGGAAGTGGAGATGCAACATGGGGGGGTTAAGGGGGTAGGAGAAGAATAAATGAAACAAGATGGGATTGGGAGGGAGACAAACCATAAGTGACTCTTAATCACACAAAACAAACTGAGGGTTGCTGGGGGGAGGAGGGTTGGGAGAGGAGGGTGGGGTTATGGACATTGGGGAGGGTATGTGCTATGGTGAGTGCTGTGAAGTGTGTAAACCTGGCAATTCACAGACCTGTACCCCTGGGGATAAAAATACATTATATGTTTATTAAAATAAATAAATAAATAAATAAATAAATTTATTTTAAAAATAAATAAATAAATAAACATACCAAGTACAAAACTAGGTAAGGAAACATTTGTAATAACTCATCACCAGATAAACAGCCATATTAAAGAAATATCAGGGGAAAAGAAAATGTCCCTAGAAAACATTTCAAAACATTTCCAAGAACAGATGATACATCCAGAACATTTCCACTAGACTTTTTTTCTTATGCTATTAGTAATTTAACAATTGCACTTTCAAAACAAAAACAAAACATGAATTAAATATGAGCTTCTGTTACATGACGCTTCTTGACTTCTATGCTTCTTTATCTCATGTAAACTTTTTTCCATAGTATGAAAATCCTACTTAGTGAAAATAACCACTTCTCCAAATATGAAAGTATAACTAAAGGTCTAAAGAAAATAATCCACAGGGCACAGTGTTATCTTAGCAAACAAAGACACTCAGTAGGAAAAAGCACATCTAGTGCTTAGATCATGGTCTCCAGGCCCATCCCTCCCAAAGGAAACGAGGCTCTTGGAGAAATGTGTGATTCCAGAGTTGGGGCAGGGGAGATTCAAGGTGATCCTAGAATATTTTACTGTGCTGGAAATAGAAAGTGCCCCCCAAAGTATGGGGTACACATCAAAAGGACACAGGGGCCAGTCTAAAAGGGGTCCTACTGTCCAAATCTGGGCCAGCTTGAACACCAAAATAATTAAATATAGTAATGAATTATAAACTATGGAAAAATAATTAATGAGTCTGTAGCAATAATTAATAAACAAACGAATAAACAAACACAGGAGGTTGAGGGCTCTTTCTTATGGTAGAATGTGAAGTGCCAATCAGTAATGCTGACTGTGTGCTAGAGTCTGGAAATTATCATTTTGCAATTGTCACAAGACTGAATCAGACAAGAACCATCCACGAATGCTAAGTTTAGGAAGAAACTGAGGAGGAGCAGGATACATGCATCGTCTTAAAGTCAGTTACTCTGTAAGAGGAATTATAATTATAGATTGGGAAAAACAGGCAACACCTTGACCATGTGATGAAAATTAACAATGCCAATAAAGGAGAGACGGACAAAGTGTGCCTCCAGACATGACACCCTGAGAAGAACATGTCACCTTTGCAGTATTATGGCCAAACACCCATAAACCAAAAACATTACGGAATCCTAATACTGCTTTGTTTTTACGTGTCTAAGTGGAGTGAGGCATGTCTGATCTTTGCAACCACCATCAAGCACCATTCCTGGTACATAAAGTACTTAAGAAATATTTAACCTCTGAAAGTCAGATTCCTGTTTACTCAAGGCTAAACCCATACTGGCTGCAGTTCCTTGACCACAAAATATAATTCTTCTGTCTAATTCTGGAGGAAATCAGAGAGCAAGGTAAAAAACAGGTATTTAATATGAAGCAGAAAATCTGCTGAATAAAGTATCAACAATTTTGGAAACAGAAGCCAAATAGAATAAAAACTTTGGCTATAAATTCAAACTGCAACTAACATTAATACACAGAGAAATGAAAGAGTCCACATGAAACACGTATGGAATTATAGCTATGCAACTATTTTGTACCCTTAAAGCACCAATGAATCACTGTGGCAGAAAAGTGCCCTCTGAACAACACACTGTCACTCTTTCCCTATCCGATCTTCCAAAAGATCCTGACCCTCTCCAAAGAACCAATGGAAAGTTTTACTGGACAGTGGCCCAATAAGCATATGCTCCAGCAAGATGGGGAGGGGGAGAGGACATGAATGGGGACAACTGCTCTGCACACTCCCTGCTTCTTTCAAATATTCACAATAACCTCAACACTGATCATATCAGAAAGCTGGCCAACAGCAATCATCCAAAATGAAGCAGCTGTTAAAAATGGACAAATTGGTATGCGTGTAAACATTCTACAATTCAGATACGTCTTCTGTTTTTTTTTAAGAGAGGCCAAGAACAAGATCAATTTGTGTTGAGGGAAGCTCTGGTCTTCCACGATAATTCCAGGCAAAGGCCAGGACCTTCGATGCAAGTCTTAGCAGGAACCCCCACTGCAGTGATGTTTGCGTGTAAAATCATCGTTTTTCTGGGCTTTCGAGAAACTTTTCTTTAAACGGAGGCACCAAGGTTGAGGTTCTTAAAGTGAGATGAACAGAGGTAAACAACTAATCTAATACTCACAGCTTCCCATCCACTCTTTCTTCTCAGTCCCCAGTTGGGGGGGCCTGGCTTTCCATCCTTACCGGGGCTCTGTGAAGTCAATCGGGGGCCCAGGAACGGGGCCTGCCTCTGCTGATGCGCAGACCTGAGAAGAGGTGCACCCCTGTCAGGTCTGTTCAGTGGTTCCGTCACAGAACCTATCTTTCCCCACTCATGACACTACAGTGGGGACACAGATCAGTGACAAAAGACACCTAATTCCCTTCCTTCAGTCATGGTGTAGCATATTTCCAGACTCTGCAGGGCTGCTCATGAATGAAGAATCCATGTGAAACTATTCGCTAGATACTTACAATTATCCAAAGAATTCTCTAGCCCATAGGTTTCCATTCTCTAATACTTCAAATTCATCAGTGAATATGCAACTCTATCAGACTCAACAAGGCAGTTTTATATTTGGGTCGAGACAATGGTGAGGGCAAGTCTCCCTTCACCAAAGATCAGTGTGTGTTTTTCGACAACCCACAGTATGGACTGGAGCACTAGAAAAAGGAGCTGCTGGGCAGACAGAACTATTAACCTGCCACTGCTTCAAAATCTGTGGGGTTTAATTTCTACAGCGAATATGTGGAAAATAAATATATAATTGATAACACAAAGAGATCAGATTCCTCTTTTCTCCTTTAATTCACTGAAGATCTGTGCAAATTATTAGCAGATGATTTTAAATTCCTCTGTCAAAACTAGCAGAACTCTGAACATTACATGAGCCTAAGATTATTTTCAGGATAGATTCCCTATCACCACTAGCCAAATTGTATGCATCAAAAGGTATGCTCAAAAAAAAAAGTATGCTCAAATAACACTTAAAAATTAAAAGTAGCATTTTGTTTTTGTTTTTTACCTTCCATAGCTCGAGGGCCACAGGCTGCTGGGGTGGGTTGTCACGGTATATGTCATCCACTGTTTTTTTCCAAAACTCCATTCTCATCAATCCAATTGTTTTCTCAGAGACAGAGTCCTTAACCTGTAAACAGCATTCAAATACCTTAATAAATGCACTCTTCACAGTCTCAAAATCAGTATCTGTGACTGCATAATCACAGAATTCAGCCAAAAACGAAGTTTAATTCTATACATTTGTTTTAATTTTTCCTTGAAACTATATATAAATTAAATTGTTGTCATTAAGAGTTTCCTAAGTAAAACCTGCAAATTACTTCTGATTATTTTCAAGGTTTGCATTCCAAAATAGGAAATATTCTCCTAGAAATAAATTGCAGAGGCGCCTGGGTGGCTCAGTGGGTTAAAGCCTCTGCCTTTGGCTCAGGTCATGATCCCAGGGTCCTAGGATCAAGCCCCACATAGGGCTCTCTGCTCAATGGGGAACCTGCTTCCTCCTCTCTCTCTGCTGCCTCTCTGCCTACTTGTGATCTCTGTCTGTCAAATAAATAAAATCTTTAAAAAAAAAAAAGAAAGAAAGAAATTGCAAGGAAAAAACATATTCCGGGGGGCAACATTAAGATTAAAAGAAATTTGATAGAGGAACCAGTTGCTGTATGTGGATTTTATCTGAATCCTGATTTGAAGAGAAAGAAACAACTGGGAAAAATCTGAATACTGGATGTTTAATGATATTAAGGAATTCTTAAATTTTTAATGTATGACAATGGTGTTATAGTTACTTTTTAATGAGTTATCATCTGGAGATACGTACTGTAATATTTATAGATGAAAAAATTTATCTGAGACTTATTTCAAAATAACAGAGGTGAGGAGGGGATAGATGCAGATAGAGATGAAAAATCAAGATTGGCCATAAATTAGTAACTGGTGGAGCTGGGTGATGGGTTTATGGGAGTTTATTATACTACTCTGTCTAATTCTACATATGTTCAAAGCCTTTCCATAATAGAAAAGTGTTTTAAAATAAGTGGAAGAGAAGAAAAACAATCTTCATTGGATTAGTGATGATAAAATTATTTCCAAGTCTGGCAATAAACCTAGGAAGCAGAACCAGGGGCTTTCTAGATTAAAGCAGGGAAGGAAGTAACATGTATCAAATGTCCAGGAGTGCCAGCCCTTTGCTAGATGCTGTCCCAGAGATTATGTGATCACAGTCCTCACCACAAACCCACACAAACATACCCATTTACAAACAGAGAAATTGTGGCTTAAAAAAGTGTAGTTTATCTCATGCTCTGCGTACTCAGAGCTCTTATAATGGAACAAGAAGGGTATGCAAAAGACTATGGGAGAGGGGAGCAGTTGACTACAAGGGGCACATGAGGGAATTTTGGGGGGTTGACTGTTCTTTTTTCATGATGGTGGTGAATGCATGACTCTATGCATGTCTGAAAACCTACAGAACTGTATACCACAAAAAGTGAATTTTATTATATGTACATTTAAATAAACTCATTCATTCACTCACTAAGTAATTTCTCTCTCTCTCTCTCTTTTTTCTTGAGAGCGCACGCATGCAAGTGGAGAAGGGGCGAAGGGGGAGGGAGAGACAGAATCTTAAGCAGCTCCACGCTGCGAGGCGCCCTACCCAGGGGCTCAATCCTACAACCCTGATATCATGACAAACATTAAGTGTGTTAGCTAGTTTATGTTTGGAATTGAATTGGTAAGCCTAAATAGTGGGACAAAGAAATCACCAGCAGAGACCTTATGCACATCTAACATATAAGTTATAACTGTATTTCTTTATGGTTCAGCATTAAACACATTATATCACCATTTTTGCAAATAATTTTTTAAGGTATTTTAATACCAGCCTGAGCCAGTTCCACATTGAAGGCCCTCAGTGCAAAAGCAGAGCTTCTGGATTGTGCAGGGAGCAGCAGGGAGCATAAATAGCCTTCATAATCTCGTTTCCTACAACAAACAGGCAAAAAAAGACAAGTCATTTTTCACTTTCTAAACTGTACACACAAAAAATGCTGACTAGAAGTAACTGGGAAAAAAAAAAGGTTTCAATTCAAACTAGGCCTGAAATTTCTTATATTTTATACTTGTTTCTTTAAAATTACAAAAAAAGTAATTGCCCCCAATCCCAGACCAGTTAAAAAGAAATAATCTCCATTCATTTATTAGGATTTACATAGTATTTATAATTTTTATTGTTTCAGAATCACTTTTAATAAGATTTCAAATGACCTACTGAGGTAGAAATCAAGAAAGTAATACCAGCAAATATTGGTATGAACTCACAGTTTTTAATACACAGATAGGACATAAAAACAGAAATATGGAGCATGTGGGTTTGTGTGCCTGGGTGTACACTTAGGTTTCCCAGCAGCATCTGCTGACAGAACCTAGGAGCAATGATACTCCCCACACGCCCAGTATCAGAGAACACACCTAACAACTAGATCTTTGGTTTCTAAATATCATTCTTCACTAGAAGAAACTAGGGCTCATTGGAGGAGGGACAAAGTCCAGGGTGGGGGCAGGGAAAATACAAGATAAGCCAGAAATATCTTCTTGGACAGAAAGTAATGAAATATTCAGAGTGAAGGGACTTTTCAAAATGACAAAGACCCTGACATTCTCACTGACAAAGCCTGGGACAATCTGAGCATCAAAAACAAAAAATAAAAACAAAAACAATGAGAGTAACAGAATGTAATAGAATGCCATAAGCCCATACCAATATAAAAGAATGGATGACTAGGAAGAGAAGGAAAAACTTGACAATAGTACAATGCCAAATTGTACTATTTGATAATTCTGATAAATCTATAAGACATGCTGAAAATTTTTTAAATAAGCATTTGATAACTATCAAAGTAACAATTCAGTCAAAAATCATCAATAAATGTCTTAAAATGTTAAATGGGTGAAAGTTTGACAGAAACAGAATGTTGATATATCCTGTGAAGTATCTATTTACAAAATACACAAAAATACAAAAAATACTAATTAATATTCTTATGAACTAAATTTATAGGGGAGAAACCCAAAAGATATCTTTTCAACCAAGTAATAAAAGGTTTGCACCACAGAAATAGGATACTCAACATTATGTACTTCCTGAAACGTGACTGAGAAAAACACAGCATCGCTTCTGTATTCCTGCCAATACAGGAATCTGATATTCCTGCCAAAAATGTATAAATCACAAGGAAACATTAAATAAACCCAACTGAGAAAAATTCTACATAGTAACTGGCCTGTTCTCTTCAAAAACTGTCAAGGTCATGAAAGATAAGGAAAGACTGAGAAATTGTTCAAGGCTGGAGAAGACTGAAGAGATTTGACAACTAAATGTAGCATATGATCCTGGATGTATGAAAGTCATAATTGAAAAACTAGTAAAATTTGAATGGAGTCTGTGAATCCAGTGGTAATAATGGATTGATTTTAACATCCTGATTTTGATGGTTGTACTATAGTTACATCAAAGAGGACCCTTGTACATATTTAAAAATACCCACCAAGGGGCACCTGGGTGGCTCAGTCAGTTGAGTGACCAACTCTTGCTTTTGGCTCAGGTCATGATCTTGGGGTTATGGGATCAAGCCTGATGTCAGGCTCTGCACCTGGTAGGAAGACTGCTTGAGAATCTCTCTCTCCCTCTCCCGCTGCCTCTCTCCCACTCACACACATGCTCTCTCTCTCTCTAGCTTGCTCACTCTAAAATAAATAAATAAATAAATCTTAAAAAGAAAATACACACCAACATATTAAGGGGAGGTAATGGGGCATCATGTCTACATCTTTTTCTCAAATGGATCAGAATGTTAACAATGAGGGAATTTGGATGAAGAGTATATTGGAATTCTGTGTACTATCTCTGTAATTTCTATATCAATTTGAAATTACTTCAAGATATAAAGTTTAAAATAATATCCTTATTGGGACGCCTGGGTGGCTCAGTTGGTTGGGCGGCTGCCTTCGGCTCAGGTCATGATCCCAGCATCCTGGGATCGAGTCCCACATCGGACTCCTTGCTCGGCGGGGAGCCTGCTTTTCCCTCTGCCTCTGCCTGCCACTCTGTCTGCCTGTGCTCGCTCTCTCTCTGACAAATAAATAAATAAAATCTTAAAAAAATTAATAATATCCTTATTATATACATCAAGGGTGACTGCCTATCAACAAGGCTACTTCACTATAATATATTGGAACTTTATTACAACATTATTTCCTATAAAACAGTAATCTAAATAAAGGGGGTCCGACCTCCTTCTATGGAGTTTAGGTACTGAAATTCAGACTACTCCCGCATTTCAATGGTTCACTTTTTTTTCAATTTAATTTTCTTTTTTGAGACAGAGAAAAAGCATGTGAGCAGGAGGGAGGGGCAGAGGGAGAGAGAGAGAGAATCCCAGACAGGCGCCATGCTCAGTGCAGAGCCCAACATGGGACTTGATTTCACAACCCTGAGGTCACCACCTGAGCTGAAATCAGGAGTTGCACACTCAACTGACTGAGTCACCCAGGGGCTCCTCAACTGGTTCACATTTTGTTGTCTGCCTAACAGAGAAGTTAAACCTCTTCTAGCCACACCCTTCACAATTTCCTCCAACTTCCACATAGACAAAAGGAAGCAATAATGACAAGTAATGGTGCTATCACAAAATAGCTCTACTAAAAAAATTTCACCATAAGTGGCTACAGCTGCAAAATGGACAGTGTGGGCAAAACAGCTCTATAATTTATACTTTTACGTACATAGAGATATATTTTAAAATTTAATTTTAATATAAAAAGTCTCTGAACTTCAAAATTGTTTAAAACACTAGGATGTTAATAAGAAACAGTGAGAAAATAGTGACTTGGAATCAAGACCACAATCTTAATTTCCATTCAAGTAGTTGACAGAAATGATACCTGCCATATCTATTTCTTAATTTGCAAAATGAGGCTTGATAACTGATCTGTTTCATATCTCCTAAAAATAGTATGTGAAGTTCTTCAGGTTTCTTATAGCGAAATGAAAAATGAAGACATACTAGTATGGTAACAACCTTTGGGAAATAAGATATTCTACACAGAGAAGGATTTCCCTGTAAGGTTTCTTTTTTTTTTCTTTCTCTTTCTTTTTTTTGGGGGGGGTTGGAAATTTTTCTAAACAATATTACCAACTTCTTTATACTGAGTAAGGTACACTGAATGTTTAATAATTTCTTCATCACTCAGGATCACTGTTATAAATACTGATTATTGGCAGACAAGGGTATCTTAAGTAGCCAAACAAGGTCCAGTCATTGGAGAACTATTCCAGATAGTGAGAAATTCCATACTATGATGGTTTTATACAGCAACGGGGCCAAGAACCTTTCATTTTCATTCATTCACTGTAACATTTATCCAGTGCCCACTATGCGACAGCACTGTGCTAGATGCTGAAGATAGGTATAGACTTCAGGTCTGGTAGAGAGAGGCAAACATATGAAAGATAAGCATATCTAGTGTTAGGACTGCTGTGCTAGTTCTAGTTCCATAGACCTGTGCCATCAAGTCACAAAAAGGTGGTTCCCCAGTGAGGCTGTAGGAGAATGAACAGTACACTTTCAGCCATCACCACTAACACCTCCTTACCTCCTTATAGCACAAATCCCAAGGCCTGAGGCAGCCTTGGGGTTCCTCAAAATGATACCCCCAAGAAACCTATGTAAATTAGGTTTGAGATATTCCCAAGAACCTAGCCTCCTAGCAGAGCTCTGGCTGGCTAACCTGAACTTCTGACCTGGTATCTTTTTCAGTATTTGGAGGCCTTACATAACATACATGCCCATAACAACCCTGCCCAGATCATTTCAGAGGTCAAATCCTGCAAAGATTAATGGTCAGTCAGAAGCTAGAAATTGTAATCTTTCTTTCAAGTTTTTGTTTTTATTTAAAAACTACTATCGGGCATATGTTATGTGCCAGCATTTTTATATACATCATTACATTTAACCCTCATAACCAGGCTATAAAGTAGTAGAAATTTACAAATGAGGAAATAGCTGAATCTTAATGTGAGTAACTTTCTCAAATGATGGACCTAGGATTAATAAACTCAGACACGGGGCGCCTGGGTGGCTCAGTGGGTTAAACCCTCTGCCTTCAGCTCGGGTCATGATCTCGGGGTCCTGGGATCGAGCCCCGCGTTGGGCTCTCTGCTCGGCAGGGAGCCTGCTTCCCCCTATCTCTCTGCCTGCCTGTCTACCTGTGATCTCTGTCTGTCAAATAAATAAATAAAATCTTTTAAAAAAATAAAAAAAAATAAAATAAAATAAACTCAGACGAGGTCTGCCTGTAAATATCCAAGCTTTTTAATCACTAGAGTCAAAGGTGTTCATCCCACTCAAATACCTATAGGGACAGATTAAGTATCTGCCCATTTGTAAATAAATATTTGAGAAAACTGTCATGTGATAACCATAGACTATTACTGGAAGAAGAGTATGATCACTATATATACATATATATAAACACACACTAGTGTATATACACAGTGTGTGTATATGTATATACACAGTGTGTGTATATATATATACACACACACACTATATATGTAGAAATAGATATACTACATGTATGTAGTAATATATATGTAATGTATATGTAATATATGACTACATGTATGTAGTATATCTATTTCTACATATATAGTGTCTGTGTATATATATACTAGTATATATGTAGTAATATATATGTAATATATTACTACATATATGTGATGATATATATTATATGTAATATAGTGATTGTACTATTAATTATACGTAATAATACATAAGAAATTAGGAAGAGTGAAGGTGCCTGGGTGGCTCAGTCGTTTAAGTGTCTGCCCTCGGCTCAGGTCATGATTCTGGAGTCCTGGGACCGAGCCCCCATCAGGCTCCCTGCTCAGCAGGGAGTCTGCTTCTCCCTCTCCCTCTGCTCCTCACCCCCTCATGCTCTTTCTCTCGTTCACTCTCTCTCTCTCAAAGAAAATAAAATCTTAAAAAGAAAAAAGAAGTTAGGAAGAGTGAGTATTCACCTCCGGATAGGGAAGTTAGGATACTACAAGTGTCAAAAATTGCACTGGACAAGTGGATATGGGTGGTAAACATTTTGGCAACTTGTGTCTTTTTATCATGAAAAAATGATTAACTTTAAAATATATAAAAATGAATACAACTTTTTGGCAGTTTTGGCTTTTACAAGTTCTTATTGCTCTGATTTCCACAACTGTTATCTTGTTTCAGTTATAAGTAATAAATAGAAGGGGACAGGAACGTTATTTTTAAAATTGATTAAAAACAAAATTCTGAAATGCATGGGAATTCTGTTGTGTTATGCAACCTTTTGCTAAAATGAAATTCAAAAACATTGGATTTATCAGCCTAGTCAAATCCAAGGTAGTTTAATTATTCTAGCACTTCTCAGAAGTTAAGACCAGGTACATTGAGCATTTCACCACTGTTTTAAATCAAAGGCAGCAGGAGGGCTGCAGATCCTAAGCCATTGGTCTTTGCAGTCAGGCCCAATTCCAAGGCAGGAGCCTGCCCAGATACCCTGGGTCACCTGGTGACCTGATTCACCTAACTGGACTCCACACATGATTAACAGCGGCTGCCATGTGCCAAGCCTTTCCGGTGTTATCAGGGTGAACAAAACTGTCACCAGGCCCTGACTTGATGAGACTATTCTACTGAATCTCAGGCAAATCCCCTAATCTCTCGAAACCTTCGTATCCTCATCCATTACATATGATAATAATGGCCTATATTGTACTCACTGGGCCCTTGCTTTGTGCCGGGCATTGTTCTAAATGCTTTAATCCTCAAAACCCTCAATGGTAAAGTCTACATTTTTGCGTCAATAATTTGTAACGAAGATAAGTAAATTACTTGTACTTTGCATAGTGCCTGACACGTAAGAGCTCACTTAGCTAAAAGTCGTCTGTCAAATTTTTAAGAAGGTGTGCATGCAGTACGTTTAGGTAAAAATTAAGTTTCAGTCAAGGTGACAGACGAAGGAGTTTTGCCACAATTCTGTGACCGCCGTGAAAGTTCTCGTGGCCTCACTCCCCGCCAACCCGAGCGCAGGAAGGCAATGGGGTCCGCTCGCCCGGGCCAGCCCCGAGTCCCGCCGCGCCCGCCCGGGCCCCCTCGGGCAGCCCCCCGACCGCCAGCCGGGGCAAGCCGGGCTCGCTCACCGCAGCAGCTCCATGCAGTAGCGGTCGGAGCCCAAGGCGCCCGCTCCGCTGGCCGCGGCCACGCTCCGCGCCGACCCCACGAGCCCCGGGAGCCGCCGGGCTCGCGCCCACAGGCTCCGGGGCGGTCGGCGGCGGCACAGGCAAGCAACGCCGAGCCGCACCGGGCCGCAGGCGGAGCGCAGCACGGAGGCCGCCATGACGCCGACGCCGCGTGCCCTTCGACCCCGCCACGCCCCCGCAGGTCCACGAGCCCGCCTCTCAGCCGCTGCCGGGAGGCCCGGGGACGCAGCTCGGAGCGGAGCCAGGTGTCGCTGTGGTCCTCTGCATCTGGGCCGCCACCGCGCTCTTCTGCCCTGTGGGTTCCAGAAAAACCCCGCCGAAATCCGATGGACTCCGCCCCGGCTCTCCGCCTTCCTTCCAGGTCCTTCTGAAAATGTATTTATCGAGGTAGGAGGATAGAGAATATGGTATTTGACAGTTTACTAGCTTAACTTACAACTTTTAAGTATTTGTCACATGATATGTGAGCTTTCTTTGGTCTTACCCGCGGCCTTTCAAATATTAGAGCTGGGTCTAGTTGCCAAGACCTGCCCTGGTCCAAGCCATCCCTGCCTCTGTCTGGATCCCTGTGACACCTGCCGGGACTATTCATGCGGTAGCCAGACACCAGATTCTTTCTAAACTATCCATTTGATCATGATCCTTGCTTGCTTGCTTGCTTGACAGCCTTTACTGTGCATTGGATAACACCCCTCCACGATTACGGCCTCTACTTTTCAGCCTCAACCCTAGCTATTTGCATTTGTGACTCCATCTCCTTAAACCCAAAAGAGTGTACCCTGTTGCCTGGACCTTCGGAACTCCAGCCTGTTCACCCTGCTTTAGTTTTACTCCCTGAGACCGCCTCTCTGCAGCCTGCGCAGGACCTCAGTCCCTCCTGCATCATGTTCTCTTTTCCCTCTGGGCTTCTGTCCTTTAGCTCTGACAGACACACGCTAGTGTTTTCGATACCACAATTTAAACCTGATCCGTAAAAAAAAAAAAAAATCACTCATCTAATATCCCCAGTTCTGAGCTCCTGCCCAGCAGGACGTTTCTATCCTGACGTCTTACCATTACTTCAAAGTCCACCGGCTAAAAATCAAATCAAACTACTGCCCTTCTTAGTCTCTTTATCTGAACAGTATTCCCGCCTCTCACAACTAGAGGAAACACTTTGGAGTCATCCTTCCCTTTTCCTCTTCTATACCTAATGTAATATAGTTGGTCAGGTCCATCAGTTTTGTTGTTGTTGTTGTTGTTGTTTTTTCCTTCACATACATCTGTGGCTTCATAGCTGATGAGAAACCTGGACTCAGATCCTGGCTCCACTTCCTATCTCTGTGACCTTGGGTAACAGATTTACCTTTTCTTATGCCTCAGATTCCTCCCCTATGAAATGGAAATAATAATCCTACCTCATAAGGTTCTTATGAGAATTAAGTAAGTTAATGCATTTAAGGCACCTAGGCTGTGTCTGGCCCATAAACAGCACTTAACACAAGTCAGCTATGTAGAGAAAATATTAAGAAAGACTGTTTAAAAGGAGCAAAAAGTGGTACCTGGGTGGCTCAGTCCACTAGATGTCTAATTCTTGATTTCAGCTCAGATCCTAGTCTCAGGGTTGTGAGATCAAGCCCTGTAATGGACTCTGTGCTGAGTGTGGAGCCTGCTTCAGATTCTCTCTCTCCCCCTCTCCCTCTGCCCCCTTACCCCCCAGGTGCTCTCTCTCTCCCTCTCTCTCAAAAATAAAAGGAGGAAAAGATTGCTGGGTGTCCTAATGGGAAGCTAGACATCAGTCAGGTTATTTGAGTCTATGTGCCTTTCATTATCTTTGAGCTGTTTTACACTTCCATAAGCTGCAGGATAGTGACAATAATGCAAATAATTCTTGTCCATAAATATGTAAATTATGTGTGTAGGAGATTCTGTTGATTAATAATAATAATGAATATTGACCGGTTTTGCCAGTTTTGTGTCTGTTAAGCAGATATACTTAAGTATTCCTAACTGCCTATTTAGTCTGGTACTTTGATTACTTCTTTGAATTGGTCACAACATCTTCCTGGTTCCCACATTAAGTAATGAGTTAAATGAAAAAACTTTTTTTTTTTTTATTTTATTTTGGGGTCTCCTGGATGGCACAGGTGGCTAAGCATTTGACTCTTGGTTTCAGCTCAGGTGGTGATCTCAGGGTTGTGAGATTGAGCCCTGGGTGAGGCTCCACACTGAGCATGGCATCTGTTGGAGATTCTCTGTCCCTCTCCCTCTTCCCTCCTGCTCATGCTCTCTCGCTCCCTCTCTCAAATAAATAAATACATCTTTTAAAAAAAGATTTTAAGTAATCTCTACGCCCAACATGGGGCTCAAACTCACAACCCCAAGGTCAAGAGTCTAATGCTCTACTGACTCACCAGCTGGGTGCCCTTTAAATGAAATTTTTGACCCGTGTTCATTTTCATCTGTATGAGAGTTGTGGTTATACAATCTTGTTAAAAATTATCCTTTAAGGGGCGCCTGGGTGGCTCAGTGGGTTAACCCGCTGCCTTCGGCTCAGGTCATGATCTCAGGGTCCTGGGATCGAGTCCTGCATCAGGCTCTCTGCTCAGCAGGGAGCCTGCTTCCCTCTCTCTCTCTCTGCCTGCCTGTCTACTTGTGATCTCTCTCTGTCAAATAAACAAAATCTTTAAAAAAAAAATTATTCTTTAAGAACTACCATTAGGTGTTACTAACTTCTCTTCCATTTTATTTCCAGTACCTACTTTTGCATCTTTCTGATGGACATATTTCACTTACTTCCTTATATTCAGGTCAATCAGTCTATATTGAAAAATTACCATTTCTAGTAACCACAAATTGATACAAATCTAAGTAATGTATACTATGAGCCTATAGATATATAAACCTTAAGGCAGAATTCCAAATAATGGCAATAGAGGAAAAATTAAGAACTTTTAAAATTATGCTATGGATAACACCCTGCTACCAACTAACATTTATAAGAACATCTATTATTTGCTAATCTTCAAATTAATTTTTTATAATTATGAGCACATAAAATATTTCCTTGGTCTAATTACTTGATATCAAACCAATATATTTGAAATATGCATATACTTTTATTCAGTCAAGGTTACAATCAAGGCAGAAGCTTAACCCCAGAATTAACATTTACAAATAAATGACCACACAGCACAATTTGTTAACTTGGCCTTTAGCCATGGCATTTGCTCACTATGTCCTTTCTGAGTATATGGTGATTATAACTGTTCCATCTGTGTAATTATGGATGAAATATGATAACATTTCTTTCCAAGCTTTAGCCCAATAAAGATTGTCCTATGGTTGATCGCTGTATTTTAAAGAGTTATGCCTCATGCCTTATTATTCCAGAATATTGCTCCCCCTCTTATTTTTTCCATGCCCTCTATCAAGAAATGAGTTTCATTCCTTATGTTAAGAGTCAGCCTGGCATTTTGGTTTTAACATGACACCTTGAGCATCTCAACAGTCTGAGAGGGTCTACACCAGATCACAGATGGTTAAATCTCCCAGAATAAGACTACTCCACACACTTTCTCCTCCTTCTCCAAGGCCCTCATTTCTTAGTCCATTTTATTTTGTTACATGTTTTTCATCATTATATATATATATCTTTTTTTCACACACACACACACACACACACAACATACATACATTTGCCTGTATTTTCCAGATTTCCTTTAATGATATATATATATAATCATTAAAGAACACATATATATAATAAAGTATATAAAGTTTCCATATATATGTTGGGAAAAAATCATGCTAAAACCAATAATTCAGCGTAACAGTATTCATTGTTTTTGCACCACACACAGTGCTCCATGCAATCTGTGCCCTCTCTAATACCCACCACCTGGTTCCCCCAACCTCCCACCCCCCACCCCTTCAAAATCCTCAGATTGTTTTTCAGAGTCCATAGTCTCTCATGGTTCACCTCCCCTTCCAATTTCCCTCAACTCCCTTCTCCTTTCCATCTCCCCTTGTCCTCCATGCTATTTGTTATGCTCCACAAATCAGTGAAACCATATGATAATTGACTCTCTCTGCTTGACTTATTTCACTCAGCATAATCTCTTCCAGTCCCGTCCATGTTGCTACAAAAGTTGGGTATTCATCCTTTCTGATGGAGACATAATACTCCATAGTGTATATGGACCACATCTTCCAAATATATCATTACCAAATTTAGGAATAAACAAGCGTAGGTGGAGAAGGTTGCATTGTTTTTCACAAATACACTGTTTTTTATGGAATATTTTATTTGGTTTATTTATTTTACATTATATGCCAGTCACTATTCTAATGACGTTATGTATATTAACTTATTCAAACATATTAAACTCTTTGAAACAGAAAAAAAAAACCCAATAATTCAAACAATTACTGTTTACATTTTGGTATTAGCTCTAACCTTTTTTCTATCCATAGGCTTTTTGCTTGTTTTAAAATATTGCCTGTACAGTATTACTTGAATACCCAAACATGGTTATAAATATTTATTATGCTATTATTTCATTTATTTTAAAACATTTATTGGAAGTCTGCTTTGTTCCTACATGGTACCAGGTGCCCAGATTCCAGAGTGAGCAAATAGACATGATCCATGTCCTCAAAGAGCTTGTTCTTGAGCTGTGGATAAAGACATTTACCCAAAAATCATCATGAATAAATATATAATCATAAAATGTGATAACTGCTATTGTGTTAATAAAGGTATAAATTCAGCTGCTCAAATAAAAACACAGAATAACAGTACTGTAAACAAGATAAACATTTATCCCTCTGTCACGTAGCAGTCTCAGATTGCATGGAGATCCCAGAGACTTAAGCTCTTTCAGTCTGATCCCTCCACCATCTGAGGAGTGTCTCCCTCGCTGGTATGTCCAATGTGGCTCTCTAATACTTCAACATGGCAACCAGTAGCAAGAGTGAAAGGATAAGGGGCAAGATGCCCTTCTCTTTAAGAGAATAGTCATTTTTGTGCCATGGCATATGACAAAGTATGTGCTTCTTTAAGCATTAACTAATAAACTTGCAATGAGTCTAATTTCAAATTTTATAGTGGTGATGAACATAAACCATATATTAGATATATACAGGGGTGCCTGGG